GAAGCAGTCCAAAAGCTCATTTAGAATAGCCTTTCCAAGGTAATAATTCTTCAGATGATGCACAAAACTAGCCTGGCCTCCCCAAATGAACAATATTGATTTCATGCCAGCTGCTCTCATGGATTAGTTGGAAACAGAGCATTCAAATGTTCTGAATATTATCCAATAGAATTTCTTTACTTTTACTTAAAATATTATCAGTAAGAAGCAGATTTTCAACCAATTACTGAATGGTATATTTCTGTGATGATTATTAATACAGTGCTCTTATCAATGATTATACAGATCTAAGAAAAATTACCTTTTGCCTAAGGCAAGGAGATGTATAGTTTGAAAATAAAGGAGAAAAAGTGAAAATGTATATGACAAAAATGGGTTTTCATTCTCGTCATTTAAAAAAAAAAGATTTTTATTGACAAGAAAAAATTGGCGAAGGATCCTACAAATAAATTTATCAGTTATGTTTATTGAATCTGTCCCTTTCTGTGTGTGACAAGATGTAGCATCTGCCACTAGATATGGCATATTATCATCATTTAACATTAGTGGTGTATGGAAAAAAATCCTTTTTCAACAAGGTAATTAAGGTAGACATATGCTGAATTAGAGCCATAAGCATTTTCTTTGGGCCCTTCCCTTTCTACCACAGTATCTAATTGACAAATAAGACATAAATGCTAGGAAAGATGAGAAGGTGGGTATAAAGTAGAACAAAAAGAAAGAGAGGGGGAAAATTACAGCTCAGTCAAAACATAGACTGGAGGAGGGATAGCTCAGTCAAAACATAGACTGGAGGAGTAACCTGCTAAACCCAGGGTTGTGAGTTCAATCCTTGAGGGGGCCATTTAGGGATCTGGGGCAAAATCAGTACTTGGTCCTGCCTAGTGAAGGCAGGGGGCTGGACTCAATGCCCTTCAGGGTCCCTTCCAGTTCTAGGAGATAGGTACATCTCCATATATTATTATTATAAATAGCAAGATGGTTTTAGTAATCTTGTATAGCAGCACAGACAAGGTTTTCATATCAATGACTGAACATGCTGGGGCACAATTTTAAGCAACATGTACTAAGCTACATATATGCAAAACCTAAGCAAACACTGCAAACTGGATTTTTTAGTTTGGAGGGAATTTGACAATTTCAAAATTTCTTCCATGCAGGAACATAGAAAATCAAAACATTTTTAAAATTTCTCACAAAATCAAATTGCAGTTTTGGTCACTCAAAATGTTTTGCTTTGATCTCAACTTTTTTTTATTTTATCCTTATCTTATATTTTATAATAAAAAGTTTTAAAAATTGAATTGAAAAGTCATTGAAATGGAAAAGAAGAATGTTCAGTTTCAAAATGGTTGAAATGGAATGTTTTGACGTTGCTTTTTTTCAATTTTCCCTTTGAAATGAATTTTTGTCAAAGGGGACATTTCTGCACGTTTCGCTTTCAACAAACTGGAATATTTTTCCTTCAGAAATTTTGTTGGAAGATTTCCAACCAGCTCTAGTTAACATATCACACTTTTGAAAATGCAGTCCATTTAATATTAAGGAAAAAATACTGCCCTGGAGCAGTGTGTTCTCTGCTACAGGTCTCCTACTCATGCTGGGCCTCGTGGCAGATTAGAGAGAAGATAGTTCCTTAAAGCACATTTGTAAAGTGCATGCTCACATGAAGCATCTGTGCTAGTTATCAGTGGCCCAGATATACTCCTTCTTCTGCACACAATGGCTATTTGGGAATGTAGTGCAAGGATTTGCAAGGTTAACCAGCTTTCTTGACTGTTATGGAGAGATCCTCCCATATTGCTTATATAGGCGGGAAAGTGGTTCCTGATGCCCTTTCCCATTTCTCAAGAAAAAGTTCAATGGAGAGCAGGATTTAGCCCTAACCCTATGATTTAAGAAAACATAGGGCCTCAGTGGAGAACCCGTGCTTCTAACAGAGCCCCGAGATCTTCTTTATAGACTAGCATTTGCTAGATATAGCTAAAAGCTATCAGAAAACACAAGAAGAAAGACAAGATGCACTGGATAATATGGTTCATAGTTCTGGGAAGAAAAGCTTTTCATCACAAGATTTAATAGTGCCATTTTACAAAGTGTATTTCCTTATTATTTCTAAGCATCTGACATGGCTTTTTAAAAATTTAGAGATATTTTCAGTTTGTATAGTCAACCTATTATAGCCAAGCTGGAGATGAGAAGATTGGGGGGAAAAATGCAACAAATGCTAATTCAGATTCAAAAGATAACTTAGTGCCAACCATATGCCTCACCTTCTGTATTTGCTTAAGCAGCTAAGTTTTATTAGGGTTGATACTTGCAAAAAAGCAAATTTAATTTAAATGCTCAATTATTCACTGCAAGTAAATTTTAAACTATATATATATATATATAATTGTAATATTTGCAAGTGGGGCTATGCTGGTTAGTCTCATAAATCATCGAATCAGGGAAGAAAACACCACTACATGATTTAATTAACTAGACAATACAGCATGAATTTTGAAGTTCATAGATCAAGTATTCACAACTAACTCGTCACAGGCCATTAATACAGGTTGAAAACTGTACACCGACAGCTTTGAATAATTCTGAATAAGAAATAAAATGGAGGATTTTGCTTTCTTCTTACAAATACTTTGTAATTTGAAGAGACAACAACTGAAAAATAAATCATTTGTTTAAAATTATTAACTCAGCATAATCACATCCAAGTTATAGTCTGCTACAGCTGGGTGAATATTGGGGAAGCCACAAATATTTGTTTACATATCTTAAAGACAAGCATTTCGATACAAGTTTAAATACAGGCATTTGTACAAGTTTGCTGTCTGGAATGTTTATGGAAACAGAGATTTTTTTAGCAAATGTTAAGAGAGAATACGTGGAAAGTGAATTTAGAATTCATAAGCAAGATTATTTACCAAAGAAGCCCAATTCTAAGAGTAACACTGAGCCAGTTACGGAATAAAACATATCCTACAATAAATCTAATCAAAAACAGCTAAGACTTTTAATACTCAATCTTCTGGCAAACAAGTTACTGTACAAATATTGTATTGGTCCCAGAATTATCTGGATAATGATTTCAACTGACAGATACATTCAAGAAAAATCACAATTTTCTTGTGGTTAATTTGTGAACAGAAAAATAGTTGAAAGTCTTGCCATTGAATAAGTTATTCACTATTAATTCTCTCCCATGCTTTAACAATAAAAACAGAGGTCAGATGGGAAAAAAAAAGTTGTTCTTATATAACTAGACATAATACATTAAAAAATTAGCCTGATCAACATGCACCTCAGAAAATTAGGGAAACACAAAATCAAAGGTCAAGTATGTCTATGTTTGAAGTGCAAATAATTTCTCCTAGATGTAGCATGAAGGTGTTTCTTGAAGCATGCTATTAGATTTTAGCATTTCTGTTACATTTCAACTTAGTTGGCAATTGAGATGTGACCCATCCAATTATGAGGAGTACACATGCAAATGTTGACATCCAAGGAGATTTCTTTAACACAATACATTCCTTTAGACTAATCACAGGTAAGGACATTGCCATACGAAGCAACAAGGTGACTAGGGCCAAAAATTAGTCACAAGCAATTAACAAATATTGTCTTTTTCATTATTTCCACTGAGCAAGGACTAGCTCCTCTTCTCAAGAATATTATTGCTCTCCCTACAATATGCAAATGAAATCTCATGTCTGCATTCTTGAACAGATGTCATGCCTCTCAATGGGTACTTGCAAAGGCACAAAAGCCACAAAAGATGAACTTCTTTTCTCTAGGGAGGGGGAGTTACAAAAGGAGTAAGCAAGGTTTCTGAAGAGGGGAATAGAACTTCAGATGCTTTTAGTCACTAATGGATATTCTCTGAATCAAAAGCTCTTAACCAGTGGAAATGGCAAAGATGTGTGTCATTTTTCCCTACATGAAATGACAGTAATCAGCATAACATTTCCAAGACTATGCATAGAACAGAAACAGTAAGACAGCCTCATAATCTTCCATTTTCTCTCACTCCCCAATTGTTAATAAATGAGGTTTAGTTCATGTAAAAAAGGAAAATTAGTATAGAAAATAAATGAAATTTAATTAGCAAAAGAAACTTGACTAAAAATCACACGTCAAAGTGTATTCAACTATGTGCGGTACTATTCCATACATTGCTGAAACCCCAGGTTTCATTTCCATATTAATCAACAGTACTCGGAGCTAATATGTGACTGTGCTCACACAACACATGGTACATAACACAACAGTGAGATTGACATACTAAATCCTCCTTAAAACATGGTTGTTCTATTGGACAGCAGGGCTCAAAAACAAACTGCAAGAGAAAAGAAAACTGCTTAACATTGGAATGCAATGTATACAAGAGACTTTTTCAACTAGGAACTGAAAGAGGGCCCACTACCAAGAGCATATTAATTGACAGGCTAGTTAAGTTTGTTTGGCCAAATTTCCTCATCAGCAAAATAGATATTTTAACTAGATCTACTGTCAATTGCTAACTCTGTCCCCCACTCTGCCATACCCAAAAATATAATTAAGCGACATATTGTCTCCTATTCTACCCATATACTATGTCACTTACCTAACATGAGCCACAACACACAACACAATCTTCTCTGGCTCCTAAAAGCAGCATGCCATTACTGCATTCTTTATAAACATTTCAGGAGAAAATGAAGATACCATTTCCATTTTTAATTATTTTTCTTTGAGGAAACATTATATAATCCTAAAAACATACCCCAGAGGTAATGATTTCCTTACCATGTTGTTATCCTGAGAAGGTCATTAATACAGTGAAAGGCCACCTCCATCCCTAGACAATATCATATAAGTATCTTTTTTGTCATTAGAGAAACATCCCATCTATCTAAGTAAATTATTACAAAGACGTTTAGGAAACTTTTCATTAGACATACATTTATCATGGATAGAGAACATTCAGGTTTTCCAGCAAACAGTCTCTGTACTGTACTTACCTTCCTGTCTGGCCAATTATACTTAGCAAATATTGTATCATACGTGTCGACAGCACCATCAGTGATCAGCATTATGGCTTGACTGCAAATACTCCCTTGTCCTGTGTGATTGAACTGTGAAAGGAAACAGTCATTTAAGTAACAGATTTAAGTGAGTAGATCCTATAGAGAAGCTCTACTGTGCCCAGTGAAGTAGGTTAAAGAAACCTTCACATAATTTTTGTAATATTTTATTATATATGTATTCATCTATTGTACTACACTTTGGTGTTTGTATAATAAAAGAGGTATCATTTATTACTGTGTATCCAGACTGGTATAAACAGTCTGATCAATTAGAAGATACACGTTCATAAAGACAGCATCCCTCGCATTTTCCCTATCTCCACAAAAAACAACCCACTAAATGAAATGCCCATATGGAACCAAATCCTCCCATTGAGTACTGTGGAATATCAGAGGGATGGTTTTTTGTTTGTTTGTTTGTTTTTTTAACCTTGCAATCATTTTATGACATACCTTATCTATAAGATATACCTTATATATATCACAGTAGACATAAGCGACTCAAGGGAAGATTGGTTTCCTTAAGGAATCTTTCCCATAAAGTTTTTATTTGGGGGGAAATTTTAGTATTTATATATGCATATCTTCAAATTTATCAGGCTGTCATACAACTCCTAGTGAATACCTCATAACAACTGTTTCCTCTTCTATTACACAAATACCAAAGAACAATATCATAGTATCTAAGTGCCTCCCAAATATTAACCAATGTATCAATTGGTGTGTGTTAAGAAGCAATACCGTGCCAATTTTACAGATGAGGAAATGTAGCACAAACTCAGATAAATTAAGTCATTTCCCCAAGGTCACACAGGAAGTCAGTGCCTGAGCCAGGAATAGAACTCATATATCTTGAATCTAAATCCAGTACACACTTAGGGGAGAGCCCAGCACCAAGAAAACAGGAGATCAATGTCAACAAAAAGGTTAAATGGACTCAAATCAAGAAGTGATCTGATCCTGAATTTTGCAAAACCGGAAGAGAGAGGCTGGAGGAAATGAATGCTCCAACACTGGAAGGAGAGAAACAACAACAACATGGAGAAAGAAATGCCCAAGCATAGACTTGCTGGACAACCAAAAGCTTTATTCCAAAGAGGAAATGGAATATTCCTTTCCTTTATTCCATTTATGCAAATAGAAATTGAAAGCCCAAAAATGGAAATTAGTGGTGATGAACCACATGTAAATATATCGGTAGATGCAATGATACAGGATAAACATCAGCCACAAATGGAAGAAATATAGAGGACAATTATGAGTGAAACAACACGAGAAGAAAGTACTGGAAATATGAATGATCTGTTGATTGAACATATAGAAGACATTGAGCACTGACCAATGCTACCAAGTATGAAGACCAGGAAAGACTGTAGGATATAGTACAAGCACTGGATGAAGCTCTCAAGGAAGCTGTAAGACCAAAACATGTTAGTTCGTTGAATGATATAATTTATACTACAGCAACAGTAGCAGCTCAACACTTTCACATCAAGGCAGTTGAGGATTTGAACCACTGGAAAACTCCCTATATTCAAGAACCTGCATGAAAACAAAGGTTAAACCAAAAGATTAAGCTTTTACAGCAGGATATCAGCCTACTGAATGAATTTTAATATATCATTTGACAAGAAAACAGAAGCGAATGGCCCTGGAGATGAAATATGAGCTGAATGAAAGATGTGAGAGTTGTGAAGGAACAATGCAAATAGAAACTGATCACTGAGTCATAGGTGTGGAATATATTCAGCACAAAGCTGTCAGTATCAAGAGAACAGACTCTTCACAAGATAAACTAAGAGATTCTTTAATCAGATCGACATTAAAAGCAGAATAGGAAAAAACAGAGAGCCAATAAATACTGTGGAAGAATATTAGTGCTCATGGAAGGAAATCTGGTCTGAGGACATACAATCTGCTGTCTGATTTCTTGTATTAAAAAAGTGAGAGAAAAATTTAAAAGCCACTCAACAGAGGAATACATAGGAATGTCAACGACAGAAGTAGATGAGGTACTGAGAAGAATGAAAAATCATGGTTCTAATTCAGATAGGGTTCATGGACTCTGCCTGAAATGCCGAACAACCCTCCATAATTACTTACTTGAACACTTAATAAATGTTTGAGAATGGAGTCGAAGATGGTGACAGGGAGAATCATCCATATATTTAAAAAAAATAAAATAAAAATAAATAAAAGGAAGGAGGCCACCGTGATCCCAATCACAAGTTTACCAACAATGTGGAAAGTTCTTATGGCAATTCTGGATAGTATTAGCATGAAATTGATGCTGCTTCCTGAACAAAAAGCTGAACAGTTCACACAAAAGGCACAGAGACCACCTCAGGCTGAAGAGGAAAAGACATGGACAGGATGTACATCCAACTACGTGACGGAGTAATAGATCATCTGGTTGCAGTAATAAGCAATGGCCCAGTGTGCATCCCAGCCCAGAAAGCATAGAAGAAAAGAGAAAGCAAATCACCAAAAGAAAGACTCAAAAGATTTATATAGAAATCAATGAAGGGATAGTGATGGTGAAGGATCATACCCCTTAGTGATAGAGGATTAACAAACTCATAGCTTGTAGAGGATATCTTTAAAGAGAACCAGAAAGCCTCACTATGAGAGCACAAGAGCAGTCATTAAGGCTTAATTATGACTGCAACAAAATTGACCAACAGTACTCCTCCACGAACTGCAGAATGTGTTCCAAAAAGAAGAGATGGTGGCACATGTGCTGAGCCCCTGCAGGAGCCTGGTTGGGACTGAATATATGAACAGACACAACGAGGTTGCCAAGTGTCTGCACTGGAGCCTCTGAGGCAAATTCTCATTTAACTGAACCATGTGGCATTACAACCACTGATTTGAAAGTGCTCGAGAGAATGAAGAAGTTAAGATTTTATGGGAACTGGCAAGTTTCACAGACTGAATGCTGCAGGTAAACAGGCTGGACATAGTTGTTACAGAAAAGAAGACAAACAAGACCATATTAATTGATATTGAGATAACAGCAGCAAAAAAACCATAAAAGATAGCGAAGTATGAAGAACTCTGCCACAAAGTGGAATGATTATGGAAAATTAGAACATAGACAATTCCAGTGATTATTGGAGCACTTAGCGTGATCTCTACGGCTGTGAATGAGCAGCTCAAGAACATGCTGGGAGCACAAGACATCATGGACAGTGAACTCCAGAAGATAATGTTCGTAGGCACTGCAAGAATTTTAAGGAAAGTCAAAGGAGAACGAGAGCATCGGAACATCTAAAATGCAGAAATTCTACAGAGGGTTCAAAAGAACTCTTGACTACACAAAGCTATGGAGTCGCTTCATGGTCAGGATTTACTGGTACATTTTAGACAGTAACTTTCTCCTTTTTATGCTTAAAGATCACGCATGTTGTGAAGGCTATTTGTTTAAAAACCCAAACATCCTGATGATCTAATACTGAGAGATAACAACAACAATAAATAAATTCGCTGATGTTCAAAAACATTCTTCACCTCAACAAGGGAACACATATATCATGGTAGCAGTCCCTGGGTAAGATCTGGGGACACAGTTACTGGAAGGCAGTCATGACTGTCACCCCCTACTAAAGCTTCATGATGTTATATATTTAGTATTGTACAGTCACCCAATACGTACGTATTCCCAGCACAGGATAAAGAAGCAGTCATTCTTGCCGTCTCCTCTAGCACAGCACAGAGTTAGTATCAAACGCACTACACAATCTCTGAATGAACTGGTGTCACAGACACTTTAGTCAATATTCCAAAGTGATTTTGAATATAAGAACATAAGAATGGCCCTACTGGGTCAGACCAAAGGTCCATCTAGCCCAGTATTCTGTCTACCGGCAGTGGCCAGTCCCAGGTGCCCCAGAGGGAATGAACAGAAGAGGTAATCATCAAGTGATCCAGCCGTCACTCATTCCCAGCTTCTGGCAAACAGAGGCTAGGGACATCATTCCTGCCCATCCTGGCTAATAGCCATTGATGGACCTACCCTTCATGAATTTATCTAGTTCTTTTTTGAACCCTGTTATGGTCTTGGCCTTCACAACATCCTTTGGCAAGGAGTTCCACAGATTGACTCTGTGTTGTGTGATGAAATACTTCCTTTATTTGTTTTAAACCTGCTACCTGTTAATTTCATTTGGTGACCCCTAGTTCTTGTGTTATGAGATGTAGTAAACAACACTTCCCTATCTCCTTTCTCTACACCAGTCATGATTTTATAGACCTCAATCTCCCCTTAGCCATCTCTTTTCCAAACTGAAAAGTCCCAGTCTTATTAATCTCTCCTCATACGGAAGCCGTTCCATACCTCTAATAATTTTTATTGCCCTTTGCTGAACCTTTTCCAATTCCGATATTTTTTTTTTTTTGGAGATGGGGCAACCACATCTGCACACAGTATTCAAGATGTGGGCGTACCATGGATTTATATAGAGGCAACATGATATTTTCTGTCCTATTATCTATCTCTTTCTTAATTATTCCCAGCATTCCATTAGCTTTTTTGACTGCCGCTGCACACTGAGTGGATGTTTTCAGAGAACTATCCACAATGACTCCAAGATCTCCTTCTTGGGTGGTAACAGCTAATTTAGACCCCATCATTTTATATGTATAGTTGGGATTATGCTTTCCAATGTGCATTGCTTTGCATTTATCAACATTAAATTTTATCTGCCATTTTGCTGTCCAGTCACCCAGATTTGAGAGATCCTTTTGTAGCTCTTTGCAATCTGCCTGGGTCTTAACTATCTTTAGTAATTTTGTATCATCTGTAAATTTTGCCACCTCACTGTTTACCCCTTTTTCCAGATCATTTATGAATATGTTGAATAGTACTGGTCTCAGAACAGACCCCTGGGGGACACCACTATTTATTTCTCTCCATTCTGAGAATTGACCATTTATACTTACCCTTTGTTTCCTATCTTTTAACCAGTTACCAATTCACGAGAGGACCTTCCCTCTTATACCGTGGCAGTTTACTTGGTGTAAGAGCCTTTGGTGAGGGACCTTGTCAA